TAGCCGGTGGCCGCGGCGGCGGCCGCGGCGGCCGCGGCAGCGTCGGCGGCCGAGACGTTGAGCGTGGCGGTGGCCGTGGTGTTGCCGGCGGCGTTGGTGACCATGCAGGTGTACTGGCCGGTGTCCTGCACGGTGACGTTGGTGAAGTTGAGCGTGCCGTCGTGCAGCACCGAGATGCGCACGCGGTACGAGCCGTGCGTCATCAGCGTCCCGTTGGGCGTCAGCCAGTTGACCGAGGTCATGGCCGTGCCCGTGCGGCACTTGAGCTCGGCCGCCATGCCCTCGGTGACGTTGAGGTCGGCCGGCGGCTCCACGATGACCGGCGCGTAGCAGGTGAAGTGGCCGGGCTCCAGCTCGCCCAGGTAGCGGCCGCGCAGCGCGGGCGGCGCGTGGCAGCGGGCGCAGCAGCTGGTGTTGCTGGGCACGGTCTCGCGCAGCCACCAGCTGAGCCACAGCACGTCGCAGTCGCAGCGCCAGGGGTTGTGGTGCAGGTGCACGCGCTCCAGCCGGTGCAGCGGCGCGAACAGGTCGTGCGGCAGCGAGGCCAGGTCGTTGTGCGCCAGGTTCAGCTCCTCCAGCGCCTTCAGGTCGTCGAAGGCGTTGCGCTCCACCGCCGCCACCCGCGCGTGCATCAGCCACAGCTTCCTCAGGCTGCCCAGCCCCTGGAAGGAGCCCGGCCGCACCCGGCCCAGGCGGTTCCCCGACAGCTCCAGCTCCTCCAGCCGCACCAGCGCCGTCAGGTTGGGGATCTCCTTGAGGTTGCACATGCCCAGGTTGAGGTAGCGCAGGTTGACCAAGCCCTCGAAGGCGGCCTCGGAGATGTACTCGAGGCGCTTGAGCTCGCCCAGGTCGAGGCGGCGCAGCGAGGGCACGCGGTTGAAGGCGTAGCTGGGGATGCTCTCGATGGGGTTGTTCCTCAGCCAGAGCTCGCGCAGCTTGGACAGGTACTCGAAGGCCTGCGTGGGCACCGTGGTCAGGCGGTTGTCGAAGAGCTCCAGCGTGTTGAGGTTGGGCAGCCCGTTGAAGGCGCCCACCTCCACCTTGCGCACCAGGTTGCGGCTGAGCTGCAGGATCTCCAGGTGGCGCAGGTGCTTGAAGGTGTCGGTGCGGATCACCTGCGGGAGCGGGGAGGCCACGCGTTGGTGATGGCAAGTGGGGAGAAGCAGCGGAGATCGATTGGTTTGGTAATTATAATTAAGGAGAAGCACTAATGATTGGTTGGTTTGGTAATTTTAATTAAGGAGAAGAACCAAAGATTGGCTGGTTTTGTAGTTATAATTAAGGAGAACCACCAAAGGTTGGTTGGCGCTAAAGGTTGGTTGGTTTGGTAATTTTAATTAAGGAGAAGCACCAAAGATTGGCTCGTTTCATAATTATAATTAAGAAGAACCACCAAAGATTGGCTCGTTTTATAATTATAATTAAGGAAAACCACCAATGATTGGTTGGCACTAAAGATTGGTTGGTTTGGTAACTGTAATTAGGGAGAAGCACCAAAGATTGGCTGGATTTGTAGTTATAATTAAGGAGAACCAGCAAAGATTGGCTCGTTTTGTAATTATAACTAAGGAGAACCACCAAAGGTTGGTTGGCGCTAAAGATTGGTTGGTTTGGTAATTTTAATTAAGGAGAAGCAGCAAAGATCGGCTCGTTTTATAATTATAATTAAGGAGAACCACCAAAGATTGGCTGGCCCTAAAGACTGGTTGGTTTGGTAAACTCTAATTAGGGAGAAGCAGCAAAGATTGGTTGGTTTGGTAATTTTAATTAAGGAGAAGAACCAAAGATTGGCTCGTTTTGTAGTTATAATTAAGGAGAACCACCAAAGGTTGGTTGGCACTAAAGGTTGGTTGGTTTGGTAACTGTAATTAAGGAGAACCATCAAAGATTGGCTCGTTTTATAATTATAATTAAGGAAAACCACCAAAGATTGGCTCGTTTTGTAATTATAATTAAGGAGAACCTCCAAAGATTGGTTCATTTTATAATTATAATTAAGGATAACCACCAAAAGTTGGCTCATCTTATAATTATAATTAAGGAGAACCACCAAAGGTTGGTTGGCACTAAAGGTTGGTTGGTTTGGTAACTGTAATTAAGGAGAACCACGAAAGGTTGGCTCTTTTTGTAATTATAATTAAGGAAAACCACCAAAGATTGGCTCGTTTTATAATTATAATTAAGGAAAACCACCAATGATTGGTTGGCACTAAAGATTGGTTGGTTTGGTAACTGTAATTAGGGAGAAGCACCAAAGATTGGCTCGTTTTGTAGTTATAATTAAGGAGAACCAGCAAAGATTGGCTCGTTTTGTAATTATAACTAAGGAGAACCACCAAAGGTTGGTTGGCACTAAAGACTGGTTGGTTTTGTAATTGTAATTAAGGAGAAGCACCAAAGATTGGCTCAGTTTATAAATATAATTAAGGAGAACCACCAAAGATTGGTTGGCCCTAAAGACTAGTTGGTTTGGTAAACTCTAATTAGGGAGAAGCAGCAAAGATTGGTTGGTTTGGTAATTTTAATTAAGGAGAAGAACCAAAGATTGGCTGGTTTTGTAGTTATAATTAAGGAGAACCACCAAAGGTTGGTTGGCCCTAAAGGTTGGTTGGTTTGGTAATTTTAATTAAGGAGAACCACCAAAGATTGGCTCGTTTTGTAATTATAATTAAGGAGAACCTCCAAAGATTGGTTCATTTTATAATTATAATTAAGGATAACCACCAAAAGTTGGCTCATCTTATAATTATAATTAAGGAGAACCACCAAAGGTTGGTTGGCACTAAAGGTTGGTTGGTTTGGTAACTGTAATTAAGGAGAACCACGAAAGGTTGGCTCTTTTTGTAATTATAATTAAGGAAAACCACCAAAGATTGGCTCGTTTTATAATTATAATTAAGGAAAACCACCAATGATTGGTTGGCACTAAAGATTGGTTGGTTTGGTAACTGTAATTAGGGAGAAGCACCAAAGATTGGCTCGTTTTGTAGTTATAATTAAGGAGAACCAGCAAAGATTGGCTCGTTTTGTAATTATAATTAAGGAGAACCTCCAAAGATTGGTTCATTTTATAATTATAATTAAGGATAACCACCAAAAGTTGGCTCATCTTATAATTATAATTAAGGAGAACCACCAAAGGTTGCTTGGTGCTAAAGATTGGTTGGTTTGGTAACTGTAATTAAGGAGAAGCACCAAAGATTGGCTCGTTTCATAATTATAATTAAGAAGAACCACCAAAGATTGGCTCGTTTTATAATTATAATTAAGGAAAACCACCAATGATTGGTTGGCACTAAAGATTGGTTGGTTTGGTAACTGTAATTAGGGAGAAGCACCAAAGATTGGCTGGATTTGTAGTTATAATTAAGGAGAACCAGCAAAGATTGGCTCGTTTTGTAATTATAACTAAGGAGAACCACCAAAGGTTGGTTGGCACTAAAGACTGGTTGGTTTTGTAATTGTAATTAAGGAGAAGCACCAAAGATTGGCTCAGTTTATAAATATAATTAAGGAGAACCACCAAAGATTGGTTGGCCCTAAAGACTAGTTGGTTTGGTAAAATCTAATAAGGGAGAACCAGCAAAGATTGGTTGGTTTGGTAATTTTAATTAAGGAGAAGCACCAAAGATTGGCTCATTTTGTAGTTATAATTAAGGAGAACCACCAGAGATTGGCTGGTTTTATAATTATAATTAAGGAGAACCACCAATGATTGGTTGGCACTAAAGATTGGTTGGTTTGGTAACTGTAATTAGGGAGAAGCACCAAAGATTGGCTGGATTTGTAGTTATAATTAAGGAGAACCAGCAAAGATTGGCTCGTTTTGTAATTATAACTAAGGAGAACCACCAAAGGTTGGTTGGCGCTAAAGATTGGTTGGTTTGGTAATTTTAATTAAGGAGAAGCAGCAAAGATCGGCTCGTTTTATAATTATAATTAAGGAGAACCACCAAAGATTGGCTGGCCCTAAAGACTGGTTGGTTTGGTAAACTCTAATTAGGGAGAAGCAGCAAAGGTTGGTTGGTTTGGTAATTTTAATTAAGGAGAGGCACCAAAGATTGGCTCAGTTTATAATTATAACTAAAGAGAACCACCAAAGGTTGGTTGACATTAAAGACTGGTCGGTTTGGTAACTGTAATTAGGGAGAAGCACCAAAGATTGGCTCGTTTTGTAGTTATAATTAAGGAGAACCACCAAAGGTTGGCTCAGTTTATAATTATAATTAAGGAGAGCCACCAAAGATTGGTTGGTGCTAAAGACTGGTTTGGTAAACTCTAATTAGGGAGAACCACCAAAGATTGGAACATTTTAAAATTATAATTAAGGACAACCACCAAAGATTGGCTCATTTCATAAGTATAATTAAGAAGAAGCACCAAAGATTGGCTGGATTTGTAGTTATAATTAAGGAGAACCAGCAAAGGTTGGTTGGCACTAAAGGCTGGTTGGTTTGGTAATTTTAATTAAGGAGAAGCAGCAAAGATTGGCTGGCACTACAGTCTGGTTAGTTTGTTAATTATAATTAGGGAGGAGCACCAAAGACTGGCTCATTTCATAATTATAATTAAGGAGAACCAGCAAAGGTTGGTTGGCACTAAAGGCTGGTTGGTTTGGTAATTTTAATTAAGGAGAATCACCAAAGACTGGCTCATTTCATAATTATAATTAAGGAGAAGCACCAAAGATTGGCTGGCACTAAAGTCTGGTTAGTTTGTTAATTATAATTAGGGAGGAGCACCAAAGACTGGCTGGTTTTATAATTATAATTAAGGAGAACCACCGAAGAAGTATTTTTTCTTGTGGAGAAGTTTCCATAACATTAATAATAATAAATTAATAGCAAATCATTTGTTAGTGTGGACTCATTTTAATACCTTAGGCATGGACTTTGATACTTTAGGACAGACTTTAATATTTTAGCCCAGGGTTTAGCACAGACTTTAATACCTTAGCATGGAATTTAATACCTTAGTGCACGCTTTAGTGCAGACTTTAGCATGGAATTTAATATTTTAGCACGGATTTTAATACCTTAGCACGGACTTTAGCATGGACATTAATGCTTTAGCATGGACTTTAATACTTTAGCACGGATTTTAATTAATACTTTAGCACAGACTGTAACACTTTAGCACGGACTTTAATATTTAAGCACAGACTTCACACAGACTTTAATACCTGAACACAGACTTTGGCACAGACCTTAATATTTTAGCACCGACTTTAACACTTTAGGATGGACTTTAATACTTTAGCACGGACTTTGATACTTTAGGGCTTTAGGGCAGACTTTAATACTTTTGCATGGACTTTAGCACAAACTTATCACAGCGTTTAATACGTTAGCACAGACTTTAATTAATACTTTAGCACAGAATGTAGCACAGACTTTAATACTTCAGCACGGACTTTAATACTTCAGCATGGACTTTAGTACGGACTTTAATGCTTTAGGATGGATTTTAATACTTCAGCGTGGACTTTGATACTTTTGCATGGACTTTAATACTTTAGCACAGACTTTAGCATGGACTTTAATACCTTAGCACAGAATTTAATTAATACTTTAGCAAGGACTTTAGCACGGATTTAGCGTGGACTTTAGCAGAGACTTTAATACTTTAGCATAGATTTTAATGCCTTAGCATGGACTTTAATACCTTTTCACAGAATTTATTTAATACTTTAGCAGGGCCTTTAGCACAGACTTTAATACCTTAGCATGGATTGTAATACCTTAGCACGGACTTTAATACTTTAGCAGGGCCTTTAGCACTGACTTTAATACCTTAGCATGGATTTTAATACCTTAGCACGGACTTTAGAAGAGAGTTTAACACTTTAGCACAGACTTTAATTAATACTTTAGCGCGGAATTAAATACTTTAGCACGGACTTTAATACTTTAGCATCGACCTTAGCACGGACGTTGATACTCTAATACTTTAATGCTGACTTTAATCGTTTATCTCGGAATTTAATACTCCAGCATGGACCTCAATATTTTAGGACAGACCTTAATTAATACTTTAGCACGGACTTTAGCACAGACTTTAATACCTCAGCACGGATTTTAATACCTTAGCACGGACTTTAGAACAGAGTTTAACACCTTAGCACAGACTTTAATTAATACTTTAGCACAGAATTAAATACTTTAGCATGGACTTTAATACTTTAGCATCGACCTTAGCACGGACGTTGATACTCTAATACTTTAATGCTGACTTTAATCGTTTATCTCGGAATTTAATACTCCAGCATGGACCTCAATATTTTAGGACAGACCTTAATTAATACTTTAGCACGGACTTTAGCACAGACTTTAATACCTCAGCACGGATTTTAATACCTTAGCACGGACTTTAGAAGAGAGTTTAACACCTTAGCAAGAGTTTAATTAATACTTTAGCACGGACTTTAGTACTTTAGCGTGGATTTAGAGTGGACTTTAACACTTTAGGACGGACTTTAACACCTCAGCACAGACTTTAATTATTACTTCAGCATGGACTTTTATCCTTTAGCGCAGATTTAATACATTTAGCACGGGCTTTAATACTTTGGTGCGGAGTTTAATACTTTAGCACCGACTTTAGCACATATTTTAGCATGGATGTTGATACATTAGTACTTTAGCGCGGACTTTAATACTTTAGTGCGGATTTCAATACTCCAGCATGGATTAGCACAGAGTTTAGCACAGACTTTCACACTTTAGGATGGATTTTAATACTTCGGAGTGGACTTTAAGACTTTAGCGTGAACTTTATGACTTTAGCATACTTTCATTAATACTTCAGCATGAACTTGAGCACAGAGTTTAGCATGGACTTTAATACTCTAGGACTGATTTTAATACTTCAGTGTGGACTTTAATACTGCAGCATGGACTTCAGCACAGACTTTCACATTTTAGCATGGATGAAGGTACTTTAATACTTGAGGACAGACTTTAATGCCTTGGATTCATTCCCAAAAAAACTTAAATTTTTCTTCATATTTTCTAATCTAGAAAAATCAGAAAACCCCCATTTCTTTATCTTAAAAAGAAACAAATATTAAACATTTGAAAGCATTTTTAAAATACTTTAAAGTATTTAAATTTTTAAAAATTAAATATATTTTTTATTTAAAAAAAGTTAAAATATTAAAAGTATTAAAATATTACAGATAATTACGATTAAAATATTAAAAATATTAAAATATTTAAAATATTTTCAACTTAAAAAATATTAAAAGTATTAAAACCATAAAAAATTAAAATAACAACATTTAAAATACTGAATTAATATTTAAAATATTCATATTACAAATATTAAAAATATTAAAAATAAAAGTATCAAAATATTAAGCATATTTTCAATTTAAAAAATAAAAATAATATAAAACTTAAAAATACTAAAACATTAAGAATATTAAAAATAAATAATGCAAAAATAATAAATCTATTACAAATATTCTATAAAATTAACCCTTTCCCCACCGTCTCCCAGTGAACTTCCTCTAAAAACATTAAAAATATTAAAATATAAAACATATTTTATAAAATTAACCCTTTCCCCACCGTGCCCCAGTGAGATTCCTCTAAAAAATATTAAAACATGAAAAATATTTAAAAGGTAAAAAAATTAAAATACTGAAATACATTAACATTAAATTCATATTTTCTAATCTAGAAAAATCAGAAAACCCCCATTTCTTTATCTTAAAAAGAAACAAATATTAAACATTTAAAAGCATTTTTAAAATACTTTAAATTATTTAAATTTTTAAAAATTAAATATCTTTTTTATTTTAAAAAAGTTAAAATATTAAAAGTATTAAAATATTACAGATAATGAAAATTAAGAGATGTAAAATATTTAAATATTTAAACATTTTAAAATAGCTTTTAAATTTAAAAAATATTAAAAGTATTAAAAATATAAAAAATTAAAATAACAACATTTAAAATACTGAATTAATATTTAAAATATTCATATTACAAATATTAAAAATATTAAAAATAAAAGTATCAAAACATTAAGCATATTTTCAATTAAAAAAATAAAAATAATATAAAACTTAAAAATACTAAAACATTAAGAATATTAAAAATAAATAATGCAAAAATAATAAATCTATTACAAATATTCTATAAAATTAACCCTTTCCCCACCGTCTCCCAGTGAACTTCCTCTAAAAACATTAAAAATATTAAAATATAAAACATATTTTATAAAATTAACCCTTTCCCCACCGTGCCCCAGTGAGATTCCTCTAAAAAATATTAAAACATGAAAAATATTTAAAAGGTAAAAAAATTAAAATACTGAAATACATTAACATTAAAATACCAAAATAAAAATATTAAAATAGTAAAAATACTTAAAATATGAAAAATATTTAAAATAAAATACAAAAAAAATCAAAATATTAGAAACGCCTAAATTTTTTAAAATACCTAAAATACAAAAAAAATCAAAATATTAGAAACACCTAAATTTTTTAAAATACCGAAATTTAAAAAAAATTTAAAAATACTACAATATTAAGAATATTAAATTAAAAAAAAAAATTACATTATTTTATAAAATTAACCCTTCCTCCTCCAGGTCCCACCTGGATGTGGTTCTCCTGCAGGTTCAGGCAGCGCGTGTTCACCGAGATGCTCGGCGGCACCTCGTGCATTTCAATATTTCCAATATCAAACATTAATTATTAACCATTAATTAGCGCAATTAACCCTTTCCCCACCTGGATGTGGTTCTCCTGCAGGTTCAGGCAGCGCGTGTTCACCGAGATGCTCGGCGGCACCTCGTGCATTTCAATATTTCCAATATCAAACATTAATTATTAACCATTAATTAGCGCAATTAACCCTTTCCCCACCTGGATGTGGTTCTCCTGCAGGTTCAGGCAGCGCGTGTTCACCGAGATGCTCGGCGGCACCTCGTGCATTTCAATATTTCCAATATCAAACATTAATTATTAACCATTAATTAGCGGCACCTCCAGCAGCTCTCGCGCATTTCGATATTTTCAATATCAAATATTTAATTTTAAATACTTGATACAATAAACCCTTTTAAATATTAAATATGAATTATTTTATACAATTAACCCTTTCCCACCTGGATGTGGTTCTCCTGCAGGTTCAGGCAGCGCGTGCTCACCGAGATGCTCTGCGGCACCTCACGCATTTCAGTATTTCCAATATCAAACATTAATTATTAAATATATTAGTTACAATTAACCCTTTCCCACCTGGATGTGGTTCTCCTGCAGGTTCAGGTAGCGCGTGTTCACCGAGATGCTCTGTGGCACCTCCGGCACCTCACGTATGTCAATAATTTCAATATTAAACATTAAATATTCACCATTAATTAACGCAATTAACCCTTTCCCACCTGGATGTGGTTCTCCTGCAGGTTCAGGCAGCGCGTGCTCACCGAGATGCTCTGCGGCACCTCGCACATTTCAGTATTTTCAATATTAAATATTAATTATTAAATATATTAGTTACAATTAACCCTTTCCCCACCTGGATGTGGTTCTCCTGCAGGTTCAGGCAGCGCGTGTTCACCGAGATGCTCGGCGGCACCTCCAGCAGCTCGTGCATTTCAATATTTCCAATATTAAATATGAAACATTTTATAAAACTAACCCTTTAAAATATTTTAAACATTAAATATTAAATATTTGATACAATTAACCCTTTCCTGTCCATCAGTATTTTATATTGAATATTAAATATTTTATCAGATTGACCCTTTACAATATTTTCAATATTAAATATCTAATATTTGATACAATTAACCCTTTCCTGTCCATCTCACCTGGATGTGGTTCTCCTGCAGGTTCAGGTAGCGCGTGCTCACCGAGATGCTCTGCGGCACCTCCGGCACCTCACGTATGTCAATAACTTCAATATTAAACATTAAATATTGAACAATAATTAGCGCAATTAACCCTTTCCCACCTGGATGTGGTTCTCCTGCAGGTTCAGGTAGCGCGTGCTCACCGAGATGCTCTGCGGCACCTCCGGCACCTCACGTATGTCAATAACTTCAATATTAAACATTAAATATTGAACAATAATTAGCGCAATTAACCCTTTCCCACCTGGATGTGGTTCTCCTGCAGGTTCAGGCAGTGCGTGCTCACCGAGATGCTCTGTGGCACCTCGCGCATTTCGATATTTTCAATATCAAACATTAAACATTAATTATTAAATATATTAGTTACAATTAACCCTTTCCCACCTGGATGTGGTTCTCCTGCAGGTTCAGGCAGCGCGTGCTCACCGAGATGCTCTGCGGCACCTCCAGCACCTCGCGCATTTCGGTATTTTCAATATCAAATATTTAATTTTAAATACTTGTTACAATTAACCCTTTCCCACCTGGATGTGGTTCTCCTGCAGGTTCAGGCAGCGCGTGCTCACCGAGATGCTCGGCGGCACCTCCAGCAGCTCGCACATTTCAATATTTCCAATATCAACCATTAATTATTCACCATTAATTAACGCAATTAACCCTTTCCCACCTGGATGTGGTTCTCCTGCAGGTTCAGGTAGCGCGTGTTCACCGAGATGCTCTGCGGCACCTCCAGCAGCTCCCTCCGGGTGCAGATCACCCGGCTGGCCTGGTTGCTGCAGGTGCAGGCGGCCGGGCAGGGCGTGGGCGAGGCCGCGCCCGCCGGCCGGNTGGGGGGGGTTTTAGGGGGATCTGGGGGGACATTGGGGGGTCCCCAAGGGGCTGGGGGAGGGGGTTGAGGGTCCCCCGTCCGTGCACGCGCAGGTGAGTGACGCGTGCCTGCTCACACGAGCGTGCAAAGCCCGCCTGCTCACACGGGTGTGCAAACCACACCTGCACACGCACAGGTGTGCAAACCATCCCTGCTCACACAGGTGTGCAAACCACCCCTGCTCACACGCGTGTGCAAACCCCACCTGCCACAGGCCCGTGTGCACACACAGGTGTGCAACCTGTTTCCCTGCTCACACAGGTGTGCAAAGCCCACCTGTGCTGACCCCCTGCACACGCACACAGGTGTGCAAACCCGTCCTGTCACACTCAGGTGTGCAAACTGTCCCTGCTCACACACAGGTGTGCAAACCACACCTGTCATGAACTCTTGTGCACACACACGCAGGTGTGCAAACCCCACCTGCCACACACACGCGTGTGCCATCTCCACCTGTCCTGAGCCCCACGTGCCACACGCGAGTGTGCAAACCATGCCTGCTCACACGGGTGTGCAAACTGCACCTGCTCACACACAGGTGTGCAAACTATGCCTGCTCACACGCGTGTGCAAACCGCACCTGCCACACACACGCGTGTGCCATCTCCACCTGTCCTGAGCCCCACGTGCCACACGCGAGTGTGCAAACCATGCCTGCCACAGACCCGTGTGCACACGCACAGGTGTGCAAACTGTCCCTGCTCACACAGGTGTGCAAACCACACCTGTCACGGATCCCCATGCACACGCACAGGTGTGTAACCTGTCTCTGCTCGCACAGCTGTGCAAACCATCCCTGCTCACATGGGCGTGCAAACCGCACCTGCCACAGACCCGTGTGCACACGCACAGGTGTGCAAACCCCACCTGTCACACACGCGCGTGCAAACCATCCCTGTCAGACACAGGTGTGCAAACCACACCTGTCACGGATCCCCATGCACACGCACAGGTGTGGAAACCACACCCGCACACGCAAAACCCACCTGTGACCAACCCCCTGCACACACGCACAGGTGTGCAAACCATGCCTGCTCACACACGCGTGCAAACCCCACCTGCCACAGACCCCCGTGTGCACACGCACAGGTGTGCAAACTGTCCCTGCACACACACAGGTGTGCAAACCACACCTGTCATGGGCTCGCGTGCACACCCACGCAGGTGTGCAAACCTGCTCACGCCCACGTGCAAACTCCACCTATCAGAGGCCCGTGTGCACACGCACAGGTGTGCAACCTGTCCCTGCTCACACAGGTGTGCAAACCACACCTGTCACACAGGGGTGTGCAAACCATGTCTAATCACACGAGTGTGCAAGCCCCGCCTGCCACGGACCCACATGTGCACACGCACAGGTGTGCAACCTGTCCCTGCTCACACGCGTGTGCAAAACCCACCTGTCACCAACACCCTGCCTGTGCACAGGTGTGCAAACCATGCCTGCTCGCACGCGCGTGCAAGCCCCTCCCCGCTCTCACAGGTGTGCAAAGCCCCGCCTGTCACACACAGGTGTGCAAGCCCCTCCCCGCCCCCACGCGCGCGCTCCCGCCACCGCCCCGCGTGCACGCGCGCGCGCGCGCGCGCTCCCTCCGCGGGCGTCCAAAAATTCACCCGGGAAACCCCAAAATCCACACGGAGACCCCAAAAATCCACCTGAGGAACCCCAAAATCCACATGGGGACCCCAAAATTCACACGAGGAACCCCAAAACCCAGCTGGGGAACCCAAAAAATCCACCTGGGAAAGTCAAAATACAGATCGGGGACCCCAAAATCCACCTGGGGACCCCAAAATTCACCTGGAAACCCCAAAAAAACCCACAGGAACCCCAAAAATCCACCTGGGGAACCCCAAAAAATCCACCTGGAGACCCCAAAAACTCATCAGGACCCCAAAAATCCACCTTGAGACCCCAAAATCCACAGAAAGAACCTCAAAATTCCACCTGGAGACCCCAAAATCCACCTGGGAAAGTCGAAATACAATTCGGGAACCCCAAAATCTCCGAGAGAAACCCAAAATCCAGACGAGGACCCCAAAAATCCACCCGGAGACCCCAAAAGATCCGCCTGGGGAACCCCAAAATTCACATGAGGAACCCCAAAACCCATCTGGACACCCCAAAAATCCACCTGGGGGACCCCAAAAACTCATCAGGACCCCAAAAATTCACCTGGGAAACTCAAAATTCCAACTGGGGACCCCAAAACCCACCTGGGAAAGTCAAAATACAAATCGGGGACCCCAAAATTCACCTGGGGAACCCCAAAACCTCCAAGAGAGAAACCCAAAATCCACAGGAGGACCCCAAAATTCCACCTGGAGACCCCAAATCCACATCGGGACCCCCCAAAATGCACCTGGAGACCCCAAAATCCGCAGAAAGGACCTCAAAATTCCACCTGGAGACCCCAAAACCGGCCATGGAGACCCCAAAATTGGTCAGAGTGACCCCAAAATCCACACGGGGACCCCAAAATTCACCCTGGAAACCCCAAAATCCACACGGGGACCCCAAAAATTCACCTGGAGACCCCAAAAATCACCTGGGAAACCCCAAAAATTCACCTGGGAAACCCCAAAAATCCTGAGAGTGACCCCAAAATCCACACGGGGACCCCAAAATTCACCCTGGAAACCCCAAAATCCACACGGGGACCCCAAAAATTCACCCGGGAAACCCCAAAATCCACACGGGGACCCCAAAAATTCACCTGGAGACCCCAAAAATCACCTGGGAAACCCCAAAAATTCACCCGGGAAACCCCAAAATCCACACGGAGACCCCAAAAATCCACCTGAGGAACCCCAAAATCCACATGGGGACCCCAAAATTCACACGAGGAACCCCAAAACCCAGCTGGGGAACCCAAAAAATCCACCTGGGAAAGTCAAAATACAGATCGGGGACCCCAAAATCCAGCTGGGGAACCCAAAATTCACCTGGAGACCCAAAAAAAACCCATAGGGACCCCAAAAATCCACCTGGGGAACCCAAAAATCTCAGACAGAAACCCAAAATCCACTTGGGGAACCCAAAATCCACCTGGGGGAACCCCACAAAATCCACCTGGAGACCCCAAAAGCACATCAGGACCCCAAAAATCCACCCGGAGACCCCAAAAGATCCGCCTGGGGAACCCCAAAATTCACATGAGGAACCCCAAAACCCATCTGGACACCCCAAAAATCCACCTGGGGGACCCCAAAAACTCATCAGGACCCCAAAAATCCACCCGGAGACCCCAAAAAATCCACCTGGGGAACCCCAAAATTCACATGAGGAACCCCAAAACCCATCTGGACACCCCAAAAATCCACCTGGGGGACCCCAAAAACTCATCAGGACCCCAAAAATCCACCTTGAGACCCCAAAATCCACAGAAAGAACCTCAAAATTCCACCTGGAGACCCCAAAATCCACCTGGGAAAGTCGAAATACAATTCGGGAACCCCAAAATCTCCGAGAGAAACCCAAAATCCAGACGAGGACCCCAAAAATCCACCCGGAGACCCCAAAAGATCCGCCTGGGGAACCCCAAAATTCACATGAGGAACCCCAAAACCCATCTGGACACCCCAAAAATCCACCTGGGGGACCCCAAAAACTCATCAGGACCCCAAAAATTCACCTGGGGAACTCAAAATTCCACCTGGGGACCCCAAAATTCCACCTGGGGACCCCAAAAATCCACCTGGGGGACCCCAAAAACTCATCAGGACCCCAAAAATTCACCTGGGAAACTCAAAATTCCACCTGGGGACCCCAAAACCCACCTGGGAAAGTCAAAATACAAATCGGGGACCCCAAAATTCACCTGGGGAACCCCAAAACCTCCAAGAGAGAAACCCAAAATCCACAGGAGGACCCCAAAATTCCAAAACTCAAAATTCCAACTGGGGACCCCAAAACCCACCTGGGAAAGTCAAAATACAAATCAGGGACCCCAAAATTCACCTGGACACCCCAAAACCTCCAAGAGAGAAACCCAAAATCCACAGGAGGACCCCAAAATTCCACCTGGAGACCCCAAATCCACATCGGGACCCCCCAAAATGCACCTGGAGACCCCAAAATCCACAGAAAGAACCTCAAAATTCCACCTGGAGACCCCAAAACCTCCAAAAGAAACCCAAAATCCTCACGAGGACCCCACAAAATCATCCAGGGGATCCCCTAAAATACATCGGGACCCCAAAAATCCACCTGGAGACCCCAAAATTCCACCTGGAGACCCCAAAAATCCACCTGGAGACCCCAAAATTCCACCCAGGGAGCCCAAAGTGCACCTGGAGTGAGTGTGAAAAGGGGGCGGGGCCAAAGCTGGGCACACCTGGGCACACCTGTGCACACACACAGACACACCTGAGCACACACACACCTGTGCACACCTGTGTGCAGACACACACCTGTGCACACACACACACACACCTGGGCACACCTGTGCACACACACACATGCACACACACACCTGTGCACACATACACAGACACACCTGTGCTCGCACTCACCTGTGCACGCACAAAGACACACCTGAGCACACAGGTGTGCACACACACACACCTGTTCCCACACCTGTGCACACCTGTGTGTGCACACACATGCACACTCACACCTGTAGCACACACACACACCTGTGACACACCTGAGCACACCTGGACACACCTGTACACACCTGAGCACACCTGTGACACACCTGTACACAACACACACACCTGTGCACACACACACACCTGTACACACCTGAGCACCCCCGTGACACACCTGAGCACACCTGTGCCCCCCCCATCGCCCGGGGGTCCCTGTTGGGGTTTGGGGGAGGGGATTGGGGTCAGGCCACGCCCCCCGCACCCCAAACTGACCCCACAAAAACGGGACCAAATCCACATCGGGACCCCCCAAAATGCACCTGGAGACCCCAAAATCCACAGAAAGAACCTCAAAATTCCACCTGGAGACCCCAAAACCTCCAAAAGAAACCCAAAATCCTCACGAGGACCCCACAAAATCATCCAGGGGATCCCCTAAAATACATCGGGACCCCAAAAATCCACCTGGAGACCCCAAAATTCCACCTGGAGACCCCAAAAATCCACCTGGAGACCCCAAAATTCCACCCAGGGAGCCCAAAGTGCACCTGGAGTGAGTGTGAAAAGGGGGCGGGGCCAAAGCTGGGCACACCTGGGCACACACACAGACACAGACACACCTGAGCACAGCACACCTGGGCACACACACACACACACACTCACCTGTGCACACACAGTGACACACCTGAGCACACACACACCTGTGCACACACACACACACACCTGGGCACACCTGTGCACACACACACATGCACACACACACCTGTGCACACATACACAGACACACCTGTGCTCGCACTCACCTGTGCACGCACAAAGACACACCTGAGCACACAGGTGTGCACACACACACACCTGTTCCCACACCTGTGCACACCTGTGTGTGCACACACTTGCACACTCACACCTGTAGCACACACACACACCTGAGCACACCTGTACACACACACCTGTACACACCTGTGCGCACACCTGTGGCACACCTGTACACAACACACACACCTGTGCACACACACCTGTACACACCTGTGACACACCTGAACACTCACCTGAGCACACCTGAGCACACCTGCGCACACCACCTGGAGACCCCAAATCCACATCGGGACCCCCCAAAATGCACCTGGAGACCCCAAAATCCACAGAAAGGACCTCAAAATTCCACCTGGAGACCCCAAAACCACATTGAGACCCCAAAAATCCACCTGGGGACCCCAAAAATCCACCTGGGAAAGTCAAAACACAAATTGAGGACCCCAAAATTCCACCTGGAGACCCCAAAATTCCACCCAGGGAGCCCAAAGTGCACCTGGAGTGAGTGTGAAAAGGGGGCGGGGCCAAAGCTGGGCACACCTGGGCACACACACAGACACAGACACACCTGAGCACAGCACACCCCCGACCTGGAGACCCCAAAAATCCACCCGGGGAGCCCAAAACGCACCTGGAGTGAGTGTGAAAAGGGGGCGGGGCCAAAGCTGGGCACCCCTGGGCACACCTGTGCACACACACACCTGAGCACACATACACAGACACACCTGTGCTCGCACACACCTGTGCACGCACAAAGACAAAGACACACCTGAGCACACAGGTGTGCACACACAGAGACCTGTGCACACACACACACCAGTTCACACACCTGTGCACACCTGTGTGTGCACACACTTGCACACACACACACCTGGACATGCACACACACACCTGTGCACACACACACCTGAGCACACATACACAGACACACCTGTGCTCGCACACACCTGTGCACGCACAAAGACAAAGACACACCTGAGCACACAGGTGTGCACACACAGAGACCTGTGCACACACACACACCAGTTCACACACCTGTGCACACCTGTGTGTGCACACACTTGCACACACACACACCTGGACATGCACACACACACCTGTGCACACACACACCTGAGCACACCTGTGTGCACACACACACCTGTGCACACACACACCTGTGCACACACACACCTGTGCACACACACACCTGTGCACACACACACCTGTGCACACACACACCTGTGCACACACACACCTGTGCACACACACACAGACACACCTGTGCTCGCACTCACCTGTGCACGCACAAAGACACACCTGAGCACACAGGTGTGCACACACACACACCTGTTCCCACACCTGTGCACACCTGTGTGTGCACACACTTGCACACTCACACCTGTAGCACACACACACACCTGAGCACACCTGTACACACACACCTGTACACACCTGTGCGCACACCTGTGGCACACCTGTACACAACACACACACCTGTGCACACACACCTGTACACACCTGTGACACACCTGAACACTCACCTGAGCACACCTGAGCACACCTGCGCACACCCGTGACACACCTGAGCACACCTGTGACACACCTGTGCACACACACACCTGTGACACACCTGTACACACACACACACACACACCTGTACACACCTGAGCACCCCCGTGACACACCTGAGCACACCTGTGCCCCCCCCATCGCCCGGGGGTCCCTGTTGGGGTTTGGGGGAGGGGATTGGGGTCAGGCCACGCCCCCCGC